CCACCTGCGGCAAAGCGGGCCTCCTGCTCCCCTTCACTCAGGTCCGAGTACGAATTGAAGGCGCTCTCCAGAGCCACAGGCGAGTCCACGGGCTTGCACCAGCCCTTCCACTCGATGAGGTGTGCCACACGGCCCTGCGCCATGGCCGTCGGCTTCGTCACGTGGTCTTTCACCACCTGCGAGATACCTGCAGGCGGGCAGCAGCATCAGGGGCCGTGCCTGGGTGGGGCACCCACCCCGTCGCACAGCTGTGTCCCCCACAGGACCTCTCCCCACTCCCAGGGGGGATCCCATATCCCACGAACCACTTCCAACCCCACCCCACAGAGCTACCTGCCCCCTCCAGGTGCTCACACCCCATCACCTCCCATGCCCTACAGACCCCCTCTGTCCCTGTAAGCCCCCTCCCCTGGCCTCTCACGGAGCCCCCCAAACACCGCCCCCCAGCCGCACACCCACACATGCCCCCATGTGTTACCGTGCAGGGAGGAGCGGGCCAGGGCAGCGATCTCCTGGATGGTGAGGGCTCGCCGGGACTTGGGTAACATTTCGACAGTGTCTTCAACATTTACCTTGAGCCAGAGGAGGAGGAGGGATGAGACCCAGCCCATGCTAGCCCCCACCCCTGCCATGGGGCCAGGCTGGCACACAGAGGGGGAGGGCTGTTGGGAGAGGGGCTGCCGGCGCAAGGGGGCAGCCAAGCAGGTGGGACTGAGGGCCTGTAAGGTCCTACAGGACACCACCGACAGGAACCCAGGAGTCCTGAGTGCCACTGAGTACCCACCGCTGAACCACGGGCCTCCACTGCCTCCAAGGCCAGAGCCTCCCAGAGGGTAACAACTTACTACTGCTTCTGTTGTAGAGCATGCAGTGGGACGGGGGGCTGAAATCCACCCTGGCACCCACTGGACTCAGCTTGAAGCAGGAGGGGGAAAAAATCAGTGTTTGAAGGGGTTTCTGCTCTTAGGGCCTGACAGCCCACAGCCACAGGGCACAGCCCAGCAGCGGTGCCAGGCCAAGCTGCTCAGGAGCCAGCTTCTGCACGTGTCTTGTGCCCCAGCTCTTCCCTGCTCACAGCCTGGCTGCCCCTAGCTCCATCTGTGCCCAGTTTGGGGCTGCGCCAATATGATGCTGTTGGGCTAATGCTGCACCCACCCTTTGCCGATGGCAGGTGCCAGCCTGACATGGCAGGAAGAAGCAAACACCGAGCAGGGGAGGCCGGAGCTGGGGTGTGAGCAGCAGCACATGGGTCACAGAGGACGGTCTTGGGAGGGACACACACTCATGCAGCATACACACGTGTCCTCTGCATACATATATGTGCACGTGCATGCAGGCAATGTTCGCATGGCAACACAATCTCTCCCACTGTATGTGTGTGTGTGTAGTTGTGAACACAGTATTGAGATACCCTCCCACAATCAATGCATGTACTCCCACACACATGCTACAGACACACACGCATACACATGTGCATATGTCCTCCCTGATATCATATCGTCACTAGCATACCGGAGAGGCACAGCTTCACCTGCTAGCCAGCCACTTACACACCCGTGCTGGGCACACCAGCTCCCAGGCTGTGCATGCATGAGACACGTGCAGGCAGGTGGGTGCCCTACGTTCACACTGTATATGTGCACCCACACTGTTGCAGTCTCCCACGGTGTCTGGAGGTGGGCAGGCGCACACATACCCACACACACGCACACATGGGAGCGACACATCAGTGATGTATGCACACACCTACTTGCTCCAGCTGCCCCATGCCCCAGAGGCCATACCAGGCAGAGGGGGGAAGACCCCCAATCTCATGATATTGTGTGACCTAGCAGGGCCACCTCTGCTGCCTCACTCCAGCCAGAGGCTCCCACAAAAGCCTCAAGTGCTATCGCCAGGCCCAGCCCAGGCAGGCAGCACCTCCTGGCACCCACACGGCCCATGGGCACCAGCCACCCACAGGGTAGGGGAAGCACACACAGCACAGGGGCTCTGGGGTGGCCAGGAGGGACAGGCCCAGCTCCACCCCCAGGCCCGGTAGCCCCAGCCAAGCCCTGCCCCCAGCCCACAGCGTGACTCTCCCACCCCCTGCATGTGGCAGGGCAAGGGGCAACGCCAGCTGCCCTGACAGGCAGACAGCAAGAGCACAGGCCACACCAGGCACTGCCCCACTGCTGCCACGTGCGGCCATGAGCCCATCACTGCAGGAACAGCCCTGGGTGCAGCTCAGACCCCGGGGGTGTAAGTTCAGCTCAGCTCTGGAACAGCTCCCGGCGCCCCCCGCCCGCCAGCGCTGCAGGGAGCCTTGTGGGCACTGCCCAGCCCCTGCCTGCCGCTGGCTGCTGCTGCTTCCCTGGGAAGCTGCTCCGGACGTGTAGCTTGCAACAAGGTGTATTTCCATGGCAACCAGTCACCATGGACTGATTTCTCCCAGGATACAGGCCGGCTCGGCACTGACGTCAGTGCAGCCCGGGAGGGGAGCACGCGGGGAGCCAGGCGAAGGCACAGGGTGCAGAAGGCGGGGGCCAGGTGGGCTGGACACTGCTGGCTGTGGAGGGGCAGGGGCAAAGCCCCCCAGTGCCCTACTGTACCAGCTGCAGGCTCGTGGTCCGCTGATGCCACCGGTCCCCTCCTTGTGAACCCTGCCATGGTGCAAGGCTGACTTCATGCCAACCCCGGCCAGGCAGGAGAAATCAGCCAGTCCCAGGGGAAGAGAGGCCTGGCTAGGCCACCACAGCCCCCAGCCTCCATGGACACCCCAGTCCATATAACTGCACCAGTGCAACATGGCAGCGACCCCTGCCCCTTCCCATCCCTTCCTGCCCTGCAGCCACCAAGACTCCCATGGGCTCTGGAGTCCCAGCTGCCAGAGGTGGGGCTCACTTGCAGGTGGTGGGGGAGCATGAAGCTGAGGCAGGAGCTGGGACTCGGGCTTTGCCTGCAGCAGAGATGGGCACCAGGCCAGCACCGGCCCAGCCCAGCTGTTGCCAATTGCGCTGGTGCCAAGCATCCGTGGCAGCTACCCTGCGTTGGGTGCCCACGCAATGTCCCCCAGCCTGAGAAGCAGGGCACTGTGCTCATTCATGCTGCCTGGTGCTGCATCCCGGGGCTGGGGGCCATCTCACCCCCGACACACAGGGGCTGGGGGTAGCAAGGCAGTAGTGTGGAGGGGGCTGCAGGGCAAGGCCTCACCCCTGCTATCACTGCCATGGATGCCCAGGGAATGAGGGGCCCTGGCGGACTCTGGCAAGGGAAGACACGATGGACCCAACCACAGCCACTGCCTGGAGCAGAGGCCCCCACCAGCTCCACCTAAAAGTCTGACAAGAGCTGGACCAGGACCAGGCTGGCTCTGTGGCTGGGACAGGACAACACAGGCCTTGACAGTGCTGTCTGGGTCAGGGGAGAGGTTGGAGGTTAGCGTGGGTGATGGGGAAGGGACCATGCTCCTTGAGGGGACAGGGGAACTCAAGGAGCATGGATCAGCCCGGCCCTTGCTCCTAACTGCCCCATCAGAGCCTCAGCTCTTGCCCCCACACCCCTGGGCACAACCCCCAAGAGCCGGCACAATCATGCCAGATGCCCAGCAGCTCAGCAGGGTGGGTGCACAGGGCACTCAGGGGAGCAGGGGGATGCTCATAATGGGCAACAGCTCCAGCATGGGCAGGAACACAGGGAGCTGTACGCTCTGCACGGCCTCACCAGAGAGCGGGGAGCTGACAGCTCGAACCCTCCAGCTCAGACCCAGACCTCAGGCCAGCCTGGATCGGGCAGGGCAGGGACGAGGGATCCCCATGCAGAAAGCCTGGGGGAAGGGGAAGCAAGTTCAGCAGCACGATGAAGTGGGCCAGCCCCCCAGGGACCCAGCAGCCAGCGCCGGCCTGCCCCGGTCGTGTCCTTGCCAGCAGCATGCCCTGATCTAATTGCTCTCCCAGTAACCGCGATCGGAGCAGCCCAGCCTGGCCCTACCCCATGGCGCTGCACCTCCTAGCCAAGTCTGACCCTAATACCGGATCCACACCACACCACCCAGCCTAGCCCTGTACCCCAGCCCCATGCCCAGGAGCCCCTGCTCTCAGCCAGGCTAAGGGGGGCTGCCAGTCAGTTCTTGGCTGTGATGCCTGGGGACACTGTCCAGTGCCTGGCACTGCCCTGACGTGGCCCAAGTGCCTCTCAACAGGCCCGTGGCAAGGCTGGACCATCTTGGGGGGTTGCAGGCATGTCAGAGATGGGGCTGCTGTGATTCACACGCCAGAAGGGGCAGGGGGGCTGGAACCGAAGAACACTGGAGCTGCCGGCTGGCTCAGGGCACGTGCCTGGATGCGCAGTGACTGCTAAGGGGGGGCGGGGGGCACAGGACCCATCCAAACTGCTCCACCCCTCCCTAGCTCTGTCTCACCCCCTCATCCCAGGACCCCAAGCAAGCACACGCCCGGGGTCCCCTGCAACAAGAAATGCAGGGAAGTTGCAGCCCTCCCCCCCGCACCCGTCCTGCACCCACCTCGAGAGAGTCCTGGCTGTCCAACGAGCTGTGGCGAGCCAGGCGGTGAACCAGCGAGGTCCGGGTGCTGCCCACGGGTGACAGTGCACGCAGGGACTTCACCTCGTTCCACTCCACATGCAGCCTTGTGTCCACGGCCACTGTGGGGAGAGCACAGCGGGGTGTCAGCACCTGCGCTCCACACCCCGGCCCCACCAGGCCTGGGGATTCGGCCCCGGCGGCGCTTGCAGAGAGGACAATTCCCCTGCAGAGCAGAGCATCCCCATGCACACACATGTACTGGCAAAGCACACACATGCCAGGCATGTGCAGACACAGCCAGGCGGGATCTCACAGTCCTGGACAGTGGGTGCCAGTGGCAGCACCCCTTCCAGTATCCCTGGGCAATGCCAGGTGACTGTGCAGTCCCCTTGCCAGCCAGCAGGCTCCACCTGTTGCCACCTGCAGCTTGGCATTGGCCTTGGATTGGGACCTCCCAGACACACACAGACTCTGCACCCCCCCCAGGCACTGCCATAATGTTTGTAATATGCACGCACCTGGCCTCTGCCCTCAGTGACAGTGCAAGTTCAGGTAGTAATGGGCTGCTGGCCTCTGCAGGTCGGGTGCTGGGAGGTAGCACACACCAAGGCTTACCTGTGTATCTACCTGGGAAGGACAGGCCCTGGCCTGGCTGCCAACCCACCCCCCCACACACACACCATGCTAGGAGCATTTCAGAGGCACTGTTTCTCTAGCCAAGGGCTTGTTTCAAGCTGCAACTACTTCCAATGGAGCCAGAGCACCCTATACACCAGATGCTGCCAGGACAGATGGGGAAGCCTCCAGGGCAGACAGGGCCTGGTGGTGTGGAGACAGCCCCGGCTCTGCGAGATGACGCTGGGTTGATACTCAGTCCCCCCCGGGCCCAGTTTCGTGCTGGCCCAGTGAGGGGTAAGCACTGATGGCAGCCTTCCAAACTGGTCCAGGCCCCTTCTGCTGGGAGTCCCAGCCAGCCCAGCCCCTACCCACAGCCCAGGGAACAGATGTCCCCCTGGACCCTGAAGGCAGGGCCCTGGCAGGCTCACATACATGTGCCCAAGGGCTGGGGGTGGTCAGAAGCCAAATACGAAGTTTCCCCTGGCAGAGCTGAGAGCAACACATGCCCTGCAGGGGCAAGGCTCCCAGTGAGTCCCTGGCTGGCTCTGACAGGCTAGTGCGGTCCTGGGGGGCACTGCACCCAGGGCAGGGAAGGAGACCTCTATGAAGGGGAGGGAGAAGCAGCCCTGTCAGGCAGGCTGCAGGCAGAGCTTACAGGGCTGATCACAGGTGGGCAGGGGGAAGGCATGCCAGCCTGCACGGCCCCAGTGCATGAGCAAGGCACAGCTGGCATCTCACACCACAGTGCCTTGTGCCACCTATAGCTGGGTGGGCAGGGGCCACTGGGGCCCGAATCCAGAGCTCGATGCCAGCTGCCAGTCTGGGAGGTGCAGTAGTGCTCCCCCAGTCCCCAAGTGGTGTCAGCAGGGTGCCAAGGCAGGGCAGCAGCGATGGGCACCACTGCAGTGACTGAGGCCAGAGCTGCTCGCCCCCATCCAGTACTACCCACTCCCAGGGTCTCTGGCCTTGCCTTGGGGCTGCAATGGGCCCAGCTGTGCCCAGCCTAGCGCTGCCCTGCTGCCCCAGAGCCTGTCACTAGAGGGGCACCACGACAGCAGAAGGGCTGAGGCCTACATGTCTGGGCAGGAGCCCAGGGGCCAGCGCAGAGCCAGCACCAAGGTGGGAGGGGCTGGGGGGGGGGCAGGATTCCTACCAAAGAACCAGTCTAGCACCCCTCCCTCCACAGCCCCCAAGGCTGCCATTTCCCAGCATGCAATGCACTCACTTGGGCCAAGCAGCTGGCAGGGACCATCAGGCCTACCTACAACGCCCCCACCCACAGCAATGCTGCCTCTGACTTGGCCACTTCCCCACCACAGCTTCCTCACCTCCAAGCTACTGAATTCCCTCCCCCCCCCCAACAAGCCCACAGCATCCCCCGGCAGAGCCAACAGTTAGCTTCCCCACTCCATGCTCTCACCACTAGGCCAGGCTGCCTCTTTGGCAGCAGAGTCTTGGCTACACTAGGGCCAGGAGGGGCCTCCAGAGTCCAGTCCCTTGCACTTGCAACCAGCAAAGTCCCCAAGAAATAGGAGAAAGGGCAGGAGGATCTGGGCAGAGCAGGCCAGTAGGCCCCTGGTGCCCTGCCAACCTGAGCTGGGGACACAGCCCTACCTGCCCCCCACCCTCAACCCTAGGCACCCTCAGCCAGGCCAAGGACAGCTGTGGCTATGACAGCAAGGCTCCAGGGTCTGCCTGTGTCCATGGCACACCCAACACTGAGCTGTAGGTGTGGCATGGGAGTGGTGTGGGTGCCACAGAGCCTGGCAGTGCCCGCAGCAGCTGCCCAAGGCAACAGGGGGAGGGCAGGAAACCAGACTGCTTCGGGCTGGGCTGAGCTGAGCAATGCTCAGAGGGGAGGCCTCTACAGAGCTGCCAGCCCTGCAGGGAGGGGGCTGGTGACTCACTGCGGGTGCTTGTCCTTCTGCACCAGCACCGATCCAGGGCCGCGCCTGGCACTCGCAGGCCATGTCAGGGAGGGAGGCCAGCCTCTCCCATGGTCTGGAAAATGATGGGCAGCAAGGACCCCACCACATTCCCAACCAACTCACACTGGCTTATGCAGCCACTGGGCAGCTGCCACGTTCCACCCCGGAAGCGTCTGCATTTTGCTGGCGGGGACATGCTTAGTGTAGCAGTCTGGGGTGCTGGGTGGGGCGGGGGGGAGGAGGCATGTGGATCTCCTGGCAGGGCAGGGAGCAGGGAGCAGGGCCAGTGCCAGGATGGTGGGGAAGCCAAGCAGATGGGAGGTGCTGAGCTCTACCAGCCATGGGAAGCTGGGGGGGTAGGCAGGGGCCACTGCCCCTAAACTGGAGTGGCAGCGGGCCTGGAGCATGCAGACCATGAGGAAGAGGAGGGGGCTGGCCTGGGCATCCTGCAGGCAGGCTCCTGTCCAAGGAAGCCAGGCTGACTCCAGCCCGTTCCAACGCAGGGACATCGTGTTCCCACTGAGCCATGTGCATGCCAAAGCCCTGGCACCATGGGCAGCACCCACCTCCGCACCAGCCAGGCCTGCTCATGCATGCACGTGAGACTGGGGCAGGCAGCACCACCTGCGCAGTGCCAGGGGCCAGGTCCAATGCTCCTACCCAGGGTGTCAGCAACTGTGGGACTCATCCCAGTGGAGAGGGGAGGGCTGCCCCTGTGATCTGGACCAGTGCTGGGGGAGGAGAGGGCCCCATGGTGCATTGGGCACCCTATGTAAATATGGGCTGTGGGAGGAGTGGGGGGAGATGGGCCCTGGCCCCAGGATCTTCCCCACGGGCCCCAAACACACACACCAAGATGAGCCCAAAGACCTGCATGGGCACCCGTGCGTGGAACACACCAAACCCCACTCAGGATCCCCCCCACAGAGTACAGCCCCCACAGCCTCAGCACACCCACCCAGCCCTCCTCTCTCCCTGGCAACAGCTCCCTATTCCTCTGCCCTGCCAGGTGCCCACTGCCCCACAGTATGTGCTGGCCATGGCTGCCACCTCCCTGGCACTGGGGCTGGGGATACTGTGCAGCTCGACCCTTTCCTAGCTCTACCTGGATGTGGAGTTGGGCACACACCACTGCCCATGCTATGGACCAGGGCTGGGGTTCAGGTGTCCTAATGATGCCTAAACCTGGCATGAGCAGGTGCTAAGCAAGAAGCATGGTAAGGGGGGTGCTCAGCAAGAAGGGGCTGGGTTGTGATTTGTGGGTGAGGGGCCTGCCTAGAGGAGAAGGAGACCCCTTCAACAGTAGCCTCCTCCCAGACAGCCCCACAGCCCAACTCAGCCCCTGCCCAAACTGCTCCCCTCCTGGATGCCAAAACACTACACAGGCCATGCTCCTTCCTCCTGTTTGGCCCTGTCCCCAGGTGAGGGGGGGGGGGTGAGGAGCATGGCACTGTGCCAGGGGAAGCCAGGCTCGAGCTCGGCTAAGTGGAGCTAACAGCCCTGGGAGGGCCGTGCCAGTGGTCTGGCACTAACACGAAGGAGACGCTGAGGGCCAGAGCTCCATGGACTTCACTCTGGGCTTGGCAGGGAGCATGGGCCCATGCAGCAGGGGGGTGGGAAGGGGAGTGCAAATCAATGGGATACGGGAAGAGCCAGGGAGGGGAGCAGAAGAGGCTGCCCCTGCACCCCTGCCAGAGACCCCAGCACACTTGGGGCTGCACAGAGGGAGCCACGAGGGCCCAGACCAGCCCCACTGGGAGCACCAGGTTGGCATGAACCTGAAAGGTGTCTGGGAAGCAAACAAAGGTTGCGGGGGGAAGAAGGAAAGGATCCGACCCAGCCCACATGCTTGCCAAAGCACATGGCTGGCATGGGCACGCAGCATGGCGTTGGCCCCATGGGGGCATGACTGGGCCCAAGAGGCAGGACACAACCAGGCGCAGCAAGGAACCTGCAGCACTCTGTACCCCGCACCCTCCAGGGAGCTCAGGACCAGGCAGGATCAGGCCCAAGCACTGCTCAGGGGACCAAGCAGAAGCTCCAGGGGGGCCGTGACCGTGGCTCTCAGCCTGGAACAAGGCCAGGAAGTGCTTCAGCCAAGGCTTGGGGCACCCATGGCCAGGGAGGCAGGGCCCCACTAGGACTTGCCAAAGCCCCCAGCAGAGCAGGGAAGGGGGCACAGAGCAAAAGAGCCCAGCTGTGCCTGCAGCAGGGAAACCCACATGTGCCTTGAGGGGGGTGCTATGGGGCAGGGAGGAGACTCAGCAGAGCTGGGCTGGGCTGGGGGCTGCCTGGGGCCAGCTGGGCCCAGGCTCTGGTGGTGGGAGGGGAGTGGCAGGGCGGGTGTTGCAAGGGACAGGACAGAGAGCCAGGCGGGCGCTGCTGGGCCAGATCCTGCACATCCACCGGGGCACAAATCGGAGAAGAGGGACCCAGGGTCGGGGGGACGGGGCCTGGCTGGGCCCTGCGGGGGGCGGGGGGCAGGGGCTCTCTCCGAGCGGCAGGTTGTTCCAGGGGGG